GGCCTAGAGTTGCAGGACAGATGCAGTAAACTTGCTGCAAATATATGAATACGAAAGTGCTTTCGGTGACATCCGCATCCCGTTGTTTGTGAGTTTGAAGGACGTGAAGCCATTTTTCTCTGCCTGTCTTCAAGGTGACACGTTCCTCGGCTAGTTTCAGATGTAATGTGATCTGAGGGACAATATGGACGGATGGAGACGCAGAGGGAAGAACGAGACGAATGAATAATGACAGCCTGGGTCGGCCAAAGAGAAAGCGTGTTTACATTCGTTTTGCACAAGGACAGTAATACAAAGATGAAGAGGGACAGAACAGGAGATAAAAGGATGCAGATTCGTCCCGATAGTCTCAAGAAAGAGTTTGGATAATGTATACTGGTGTGTGTGAGTCCAAATTCAGTATGCAATTAGAGTGCTGTGTCGGCATCACCACGCCAGGATGCTGACACACTCATAAAAAGCCCCACAAACAACTCAAACACACACACAGCAGAGGTCCTGTGAAGTATAATGCAGTTAGCAGTCATATTCACGACTCTAGGTCGGCTTTTGCCTAAATTGTGGGGAACAAATATCCCCTCAAGGACCGTAAAACTTCTAATCGCCTACAATGGAAGACAAGCAAACAGTCCCCATGAGGAAAACGCCTAAATAAACAGACTAAATAATGCCTTAATGGAGGTTTTCTGTCAAGGTTATGGGATAAAAACATTATTAGCTCAGTATAACAACAATAGAAATCAATGGAAGTCCCCACTATGATAGAAAAAAACAAACATGGGCTATTCGACTCCAATCTCTGCAGCTTTTTAGCTCTGATTCAATGTTCTTGACCTACTATCCTGGTTCTAGACCACTTTTACAGCACTCACCCACACGCCAACTCACACACCCCTCTGATGAAATATAGTAGGAGAACATGACAAACACATCTTAACTGGTCTGACTAAGTGTATAGCCAGACATTTGGGTGAAGACACTCTTTATTTTGTGGTTTCTGACTGAATCAGTCATCTGAGGTGAATGAAACACTCTGAATGTATTTACAGACGCCTTAAAGGGATAGTTCACCCAAAAATGAACATTCACCCACATGTTTCTCCAGGCCTGTATGACTTTCCTTCTTCTGTGGAACACAAAAGTGTCTGTTTCTTTTTTTTTTTTTTTTTTTTTGTCCAATGAAAGTCAATTATTGTTTTGGACTTTCATTATATGTTTCAAAATTATGTTCTTTTGTGTTTCGCAGAAGGAAAGACATACACAATTGGAACTACATTAGGGTAAGTAAATGAGAATTTAAATTTTTGGGTGAACTGTCCCTTTAAGAACAACACAGCATTTGTCTAGTAATTGTTAGCACTTTTCACTTTTGTAAAAGTGGATTAGGCTGAACCTATATGACAAAAGAGCTTAATGCAACACACACACACGGACACGGACACACTCAAGCTCGTTCATTAGGTCATAGGTGAATGGGAAAGATCCTCCTGTGGTTGTCTGGGTGCAGTGAGTCAGAATGTTTAATTTTAAGTTCCCACACACACTTCTGACTACTTCAATAATGTGTTTTAAGTTGTTTTTATCAGATTAAGAAAATATGAAATGGAACATTTCATTGCTCTTCTTTTTGCAATGCAAATATATAATTCATTTTCTGCTTGCTTTTATGACTCTCATTGCCAGCGTAATAATTGTTATTTGAAAAATAGCAAAATTATAATTAGAGAATTAAATGCTTTAGCAAAAGAGAAATGAGAAAATGCTAATTCAAAATGAGAAAAAGCTCATTCAAACCATAATGAGATTGAAGCCTCGTCTCTTTCCACAAGGAAAAAAATTATGAATAAACTGGAATCTTACAAAAAAGCAATGCACCATGAGGGTATCAGATGTTAAAGACATATTACTTATATATATATATATATATATATATATGTACTGTATAGTATTTAGATGATACTCCAAGGTACTTTAAAGAATACCATGGAAAAAAAAAACATGGCATTTTCATGGGACAAGTCCAAAATAAAAGGAATTTACAACATGGCATTTCCATAGGCCTAAAAAAACATGGCGTTTCCATTGGACATCTCTAAAGATCATTTCCATTGGAGAAGTAAAAAAAAGAAGGCAGGTCCATGAGACGTCTAAGAAAAACATGGTATTTCCATGGGATATGTCCCACCCACTAAAACATGCCCTTTCCATTGGACAAGTGAAAAAAAAAAACCCACAAAAAAACCCTCCAACCCAAAAAACAGGGCTTTACTCACCTACCACAATAATGCAATATTGTATAAATAATTTTTTTATGCTCTTTTATTAATTAATCAGCATATCCATGTTAATTAAATTTAACTTTCAATTGATTGAGAGACCTAGAATTATATGTTTTCTATTGCTAATGGGAAATGGTTCAACATCAAATAAAAATCTGGCTTTGTTTTTGTGTGCTGGCGGGGATCTGATGGCCTGTATTTGTCCAAATGGAGCCCTGTCATCCTTATTGCCTAAAAACATCTTTTTTATTACTGTGAATGTGAGTTTAAGAGTGAGTGCATTTTAGTCGTAGACTTATGGTTTTGTGTGCTCAGATCGGTGATAAGGGAACTGATGTGTTTTAGAGTATGTTACGGGTAGATAGAAACAGATTAATCCTCTGGTATACCATAATCCTCGGCTGATGGATGACTGTGTGATCGTGGCTCGGCCTGCTGCGAATGAGCAGTGCAAGGTCATGCGTACAGCTGGGCTAGTTAATAATCCAAAGTTTTTATATGCAGCTATTTCAGTATCTATATATTAGTGCTGTTCATTGGCTGTAAACTGTGTTTAGGAGGCTAAAGCTCATTTAGTTTTCTGATTTCCCATAGGACTAAACAAAATCTCTGTGCCTCGGGTTCTTTCGTTTCCCGGCTCTCCGGAATAAAACATTACCATTAGATCCTAATCTATCAGCAGTGAGACATTTCATCAATGTACAGCCTCAGATCTTCACAGTTTAATATTCATAAAGCTGGCCACTACACATGGTTTGTCTCTAACAATGGCGCACTGTCTGATGAAGCGGGTGAGCTGAAGGTCACTCAGCGGAGGGGGGGCAGGTGCTGTGCCACCATCAGTGGTGTTGTCAGCGTATGGGAAATTACAGCAGGTGTGTTTCCAATGGACCAATTTAATAACAGCAAGATCCACATGGGATAAAGGTGGGATAATTTTAGAGGATGTTCAGGCAGAGCAAGATTTTTTCCCATATTTGACCCAAAATTTGGTTATAACAACCCAGCATTTTTTAGAGTGTAACTCAGAAACAATGATCTGCAAACAAAGTGTGTGTGTGTTTGGGGTTGAATATGGGCTTGCTCTGCCTGAACATCCACTAAAATTATCCCACCTGCGTCCATGTGGATCTTGCTGTTATTAAATTGGTCCATTGGAAACACACCTGCTGTAATTTCCCATATGCTGACAACACCGCTGACGGTGGCACAGCACCTGCCCCCCCCCCCCCCTCTCTCCTAAAACAACCCAGCATTTTTAGAGTGAAGCAAACAAGATAAGTTTTTTTTTTTTTAAATGAATCCTTTTTTTTTAGCAACGATGCATTGAATTGATCAGAGGTAACAGTGAAGATTTATAATGTTACAAAACGATTTCTGTTTCAAATAACTGCTATTTTATTCATTAAACAATCCTGAATAGAAAAGTGTATCAGTGATTTTACAAAGCTATTTATCTGTTTTCAACATTGAAATGCTTCTAATCAGGATAATGATTTCTGAAGGATCATGTGACACTGGAAATTCAGCTTTGCATCACAAAATTACATTTTAAAGTAAATTGAAAATAAAAATTGTACTTTCCTTTTGTTTAAGTTTTTGACCTGTCCCTAAAACAACCCTTTTGACGTGAAGTATCATGAAAATTGAAAATGTTTTTTGGCTTCATAACCTGGAATCTGCACACTTTTCCACGCTAAAAAGAGCAAATCAGCTAAAATATTTCATAAACACCGACATAAGAACCTGAATGACGGCTCTTCGAATTCTGCGGGCTAGTATTCCATGTGGGCATTTATACCTAAATATGCAAGATTATACAAAAGGATTACTTAGATGAGTGAGTGATAAACTGGCTTGCAGATGCGAGGGATTTGAACATTTCTAAAAGACCAATTAAATCACATAAACCATCTCTCGCTATCACTCGCGCGCTAATGACGACCCCTCAGGTTGTCGACCCTGCTGGTCTGTTTCTCGTCCAATAGCCTCTCTATTCCTCATTAACACATCGTCCTCTGTCACTCTGCTTTTCCTTTCATCCTTTCATTCCCAGCGGTCTCGGTTTCATGCGGATCCCTTACCTCGAGCTGGACTGAGACATCAGACGCTCTGAGAACGCTGTGTCATTAACACACTTTTAAACAAAGTTCTCTTTGTGCGAAAACACATAATGACTCTTAACATAACACAAATACATGTTATAAGTCAAGATAACGTTACGTGTGTGCGAATAAACGAATGTAGTATAGAGCTCGCACTGCTATAAGCAGCGTGGCACAGAGACTGCTTTCATTGGGCACCATTTCAGCAGAGCTGGTCATTAGCTTTCATCTAGTGTTATTTCAGCAGTGCCGGTCACTCTCTGCGGACTCGCTGCTGAGAGACAAACTGTAGAAAACTATTACTGTCAGTTACAACATGGCAGAGCGTCTACATGCATCAGCATGCTTCAATTATTGAATCACTCATTGTAACACAGTGCTGAAACTGAATGTATTATATGGAGATTTGTTGGATGGCTTTGCATTATTAAAGACATGCCTTTTTAATGAGGGCATCCATTCAGACAAGTGAACGTGTGTGTGTGTGTGTATGCATTCAATTGGCCATATGAACACTGCACTATCGATTCAACAAAAACCTGCCTTGTCTATGTTTCTTTTGCTCCAGCCTGATTGGCTCTTCTAACATCTCTTTCTCTTTCTTTGTTTTCTCCAGTTATGAGGAGGAACCCGTTCGCGACGGAGGGTTGCTGTCGGAAAGGCTCTAGAAATGCCCTACAGGAGCTGTACAACCCCACACAGGTATCAGTTCATTACAGTGAAATGTGGTGACAGTGTTTAAATAAGAATATGGGGACAATGAGTTCATCATAAGTGGTCTGGCATAAACCATGGCTAATAAACCGCACCATCACAGGGGCCGTTTTATACATGACAGTGTTTTCAGCTAAAAATGCAAAACTTTTGCCCATTCATTTACGCAACAGCTGTGTTTTGGGGGCCTGAAAATGCACATTTACAGTTTATAGAACAGGGTCACTTGTAGTAATAATTCAACCTCATCATTCGCCCTGACAAAATCGCTTGATGCTTTAAAAAAAAAATACTTTGGAGTAGGGGGTTGGGTTAGGGATCAGGGGGTGGATTAGGGGTGGGGTTAGGGATCAGGGGGCGGAGATGGGTAGGATTAGGGGTGGTGTTAGGGATCAGGGGGTGGAGATGAGTAGGATTAGGGATCAGGGGGTGGAGATGGGTAGGATTAGGGGTTGGGTTAGGGATCAGGGGGTGGAGATGGGTAGGATTAGGGATCAGGGGGTGGAGATGGGTAGGATTAGGGGTTGGGTTAGGAATCAGGGGGTGGAGATGGGTAGGATTAGGGATCAGGGGTGGAGATGGGTAGGATTAGGGTGGGGTTAGGGATCAGGGGGTGGAGATGGGTAGGAGTAGGGGTTGGGTTAGGAATCAGGGGGTGGAGATGGGTAGGATTAGGGATCAGGGGGTGGAGATGGGTAGGATTAGGGGTTGGGTTAGGAATCGGGGTGGAGATGGGTAGGATTAGGGATCAGGGGGTGGAGATGGGTAGGATTAGGGGTTGGGTTAGGAATCGGGGTGGAGATGGTAGGATTAGGGATCAGGGGGTGGAGATGGGTAGGATTAGGGGTTGGGTTAGGAATCAGGGGGTGGAGATGGGTAGGATTAGGAATCAGGGGGTGGAGATTGGTTAGGGTTAGGGTTAGGGTGGGGTAAGGGATCAGGGGGTGGAGATGGGTAGGAGTAGGGGTTGGGTTAGGCATCAGGGGGTGGAGATGGGTAGGAGTAGGGGTTGGGTTAGGCATCAGGGGGTGGAGATGGGTAGGATTCGGAGTCGTATAATAATACGTACTGTAAAATACATGCATTTTCTTGTTCAGTATTATACATATAGATTTAAACTAAATTACATGGTAATTCAAACTTTTTAATGACATTATGCTAAGCAATTTATATATTTTTAATGCGTATGGAAAGATTAGCATTTTTACTGTAGCATTTTTACAATGCTTTTCTATAAAAATGTTTTACATTAAATATAAATAAGTAAAATATAATTTTCCCACTTAGGTATAATAATGATTTCGCTATTTTGCCTTTATTTCTGAGTACACTAGTAGCTATAGAAATTAACTCATGGCTCTACAATGGAATTCACCAGCAATTTTAATGAAATCTGATTTAGTGAAAAAGGATATTTAGCGAGAAAAATGTAGGGTATATCAAGTCTATCCAATCTTTAAATAAATTTTTACTAGAATTGATCTTGGAATAACATGCACCAATGAATGGTTCAAAATAATGCCAGTCACGTATTAGAGAGTAAATCAGGTCAGTTTTGATTTCACGGGTCTATAAGTTTTGGTCTTCTCTGCATCGAGGTCAGCGGGAAAGAATAACCTCTGGACCGTCACTGGAATGCCTGAGCATGTTACTATGGAAACATTCACATTTCATTTCCAATGTAAAACACGCAGGTCTAGAGCTTAGCCGAGCAGATTGACTCGACCACAAAGCGAACATTATGCGAGGATTGATTTCATCCGGTTTAATTTCACCCCTCTCCCTGTCTTTATTTCTCACGCTCACCTTCCTGCACGTTTTCAGCCACCTCCACCCTTTCGTGATTGATCGTATACCCCATTTGTTCTTTGTCACCCGAGCGTTCCAGAAAGCAAGGGAAGAGAGTGTATCTGTAATAGTTTGTTTTCATCTCATGTTCAAAAACTCTTTCACCTTGAGCAAACAGCCTCAGCGCTGTCAGAGCGTTTTGCACGTAAAAAAAAGCGGAGAACTCCAAATTTCACAGCACAAGCAGGCAGTAGGTGGTCTCGTCTGGCACTACAAACACACATTTGTCTTTTTATCAACTTCAAATGCATTTATACTGAGCCAATGATATTTTCTATCCCTTAAAGGAATATTCTGGGTTCAGTACAAGTTAAGCTCAATAAACAACATTTGTGGCATAATGCTTATTACCACAAAAATACATTTGCATTTGTCTCTCCTTTGGGTTACAATGACACTAACAATAGAGTGCCGAAGTGATGACATAAATTTGTAGGACAACTCGTAAGTTAGCGGCAAATGGGTTCCCTCGATCGAAAAGTTATGCGTTTTCCCCATAGACTTTTGAAAAATCGCAAAAAATAAGATCTGCGTTCAACAAAGACTTTTGACCCTTACATGTTTTGTCTATCAAGATAATCTTTACAATTTAATCCAAAATTTATACGTTTTGAAGCCTATTTAAAGTTTTTAAAAAACTATAAAATTTAAAAAAAACACAAGCAGGTTATAACTGGTGTGTTTTATGTCATAGATCAAAACGTGAAAATATTTAGAGGCTTTGTTAACCACAAACCTTATTTTAGGCGATTTAGCAAAAACCCATTAAAAAAACCCATGGACTTTAGGGCGAGGGAACCGGAAGTGCTAAAATGCTAACTCACTTCCTCGGTTTGGCCTACAAAGTGACGTCATAACTTCGGCACTCTATTAGAGTGCATTAGTCCCCATTTTAACCGGCACTGGTTGGAAATTGTTCCCATAGGTATTTAAAAATAGTCTTCGTTGATTATTAAACTTTGATATGAAGCAAAAAAGTATTTGAAAATCAGACAAAAAGACAAAGGTACAAGACTTAACGGCTTTAGTGAGGGAAAGAACTACAGTCCCATCAAGCATTGCAAACTACATCGAAGCTACATTACTTATTTACAAATGTTGATTATATTATACACGATTACATCATTCGCAGTGCTTCATGGGAGTGGGCGGGGCTAAAAAAAATTCTCAGCTCTGATTGGTGGACTGATTGTTCGGCATCATGGGTAATGTAGTTTTTCACCACAATTTCTGCTATTTTAAAAATAAGCTGAAATAATGCGGGGTGACGTCTTCAGCAGAAGCGTATGCCATGCATGAACATCCTCGTAACTCACAGTAGGTATTTCTTTAATAGTTTAAAAGTTATCCTTCAAAATCAATTTACTTAAAGAGAAAATGAATGGATGTTTTACCAGACTGTTGCACTCTATAGAGGAGAATTGGGCCAATTCTCAAAAGTATACGTAAACAATTAACGTTAACATGATTTAGTTATGAAAAATCACTTATTTACATTTTTATGTGTAGACTTATATTCATTTTTACAAATTTGTTGCAAGACGATGGAACACCGTTAACCCTAAAACCCAAAAACGAATGTAAAAATTATTTTACGGCTCAAATAACACACGACTTTTAACAGAATAATCAATCTAAGTGCTGCTTTTATAAAAATATAAGCTTCTTATATATGCCTTTAAGTCCTCAAAAAAATGGCCCCATTCCCTTCCGATGTAAATGCATCACTTTGATTGAGCTTGAATTGAACCTGGAATAGTCATAAACAATCATTGTTATTAGTGTGGGGAAAACACTTACTAAGCTTTTATATGCAAACATATCCAGATTTACAACTTTGTTACCACGATGACAGAACACCATAAACCCCCAAAACAACAGTAACAACTAAGATTTATATAGGTTTACTGCTCACACGTTTAACTGAAAAATCTATTTTTCTTGCTTTTATGTAATCCAAAATGGTCCCTATACACTTCCATTAAAAGTGCCTCTCCGCAACCTCAATTTTACATGCTACAAATGTTATTAAGTATTAACCTGGAATTGTCACCATTTTGTTTGTTTTCATTTGTCCTGATTCATGTCACCATCAGTCTCCTTGGTTACCGTCAATATTAGTTCATCCGTGTCAGCTGTGTTAGTTAAAGCATCTTATTTGAGTTTGTGTATAAATAGATCACCTTATCCTGCACTCTTTGTCCGGTATAGTTAACACTATGGTGTTTGTGTTCATTGTATGGGTCGCTATACCTGTTGGATTATTTACCTGTTCTTTCCTATCTGCACGCACCCGTCATATTGTCATTTAGAGATTATTTACTAGTTTATAGCTGTTTTTTTCTCTTTGGCTGCTCCTCACGTTGTGAATTTCAGGTTTTACAATCCTTGTATAGGAACATTTAGCTGTTAACTGTTTTTAGAGATAAAACTATTTACATTCAGCAATCATGAAAACAAATCTCAGATAACGGTTGAATAGGTAACAATGTGTAATTAGACCAAAGGTTCATTTTCATGTTCAGCTACTTCAAAATATTTATAAATGGTATATGATAAATATACATATATAAATATAGCCTAATAGATAATACAACCCTGGAATGCATTGCATTGCTTTTTAATACCTAAACTCAGGAGGTTTTGCAACACAGCTATATAGTTTCGTTCATATTAAATGTTGTCATGTGTCAAGATCATGTTACGGAAATGACTTATCAAATATCAAAGGCATCGCTGGCATATCAGTTTGAGAGGGATCGTGGGAATGAATCTATGGAGGTTGGCTCACACTCTTCTGCTTGATTTCATGACGGTACAGTACAGTATGTGTGTGTGATCGTGATGGCTATCCGCTAGAGCACCTGAGGGGTTCACACACCCCGACCGTCACAAACGATTACACAAACAGGAGACGATGCAAGATCAGACAAGCACAGAGACATACCAAATCAAAGAGCATCTGACTCACAAACCATCAAACTGACACATGCATTTCACACTCTTCTCATCTCTCCTTTGCAACCCAGAATGCCCCGTCTGATCAGTTTCATAGGCTTTACAAATCCTCGCTGCTTTCTTTTACTGTTAGAGTCATTTGCGGCGTTCCATATTCAGATGTTTACAGACATGTGGCTTTGCTCTGGGACGCGAGCACAGAGAGGACACTTATGGCTTTAGATTCAGGTTCAGGATCACCAATAAATTAACTCATTGTGCTATTTTTGTATGCTGAGATTTTAGTCATGTTTATCATTGAGATATATTGTAATTTACACTTTAAAGATAAGGTTTCATTAGTTAGTTAACATAATGAGCAATTCTTCCACAGCTTTTGTTGGTTACTATTACATTATCAAAATGTAATTGATAAAAGTATTTAAAGAGTTCAGATGCAAAAGCCTCTAAATGCCATTTGAAATTTTCTTCTTTAATGATGATTTTGATCAAACTTGTATATTTAAGTTCAGTGAATTCACTTAAATGGCAATGATAATTACCTATTAATTGTTATTTAAGTGAAATTACTGAACTTAAATATACAAATTTGATAAAAATCATCAATAAAGAAGAAATTTTCAAATGGCATTTAGAGGCTTTTGCATCTGAACTCTTCATTTGTTTTTTTAGTAACTATAACAAAGATTAATAAACGTTGTTAAAAAAGTATTGCTCACTGTTAGTTCATTAATACATTAACTAATGTTAATAAATACACTGTGAAAAATATTGTTGGTTTAACTTTAAAAAAAAAGAAAAAGTAACCTGGTTGCCGTAAAGTTTTAAGTTGATTGAAATGGAAAAAGTTAGTTAATTTAATGAAGGAGATTGATTTAATCATCAGAAACTCAAAATAATAAGTTATCTGAACTAAATAAATTATTTAAGTTGATTTGACAAAGAAAAATGTCGTGATAACAAATCTTAAAAATATTTTTTTTTACAGTGTGAGACCTTATTGTAAAGTGTTAACAGAATTTTCATTATTATATTTTCAGTTTTCTCTTTTATAGTTAAAGCTTTATAAATGTTGTGTTGTGTTTTACACATTTATGATTTGATAATGTACATTTGATAATATTACATCTATTCTGCTATAATTTGTAATTTATAAATTTAGTCTATGTAGATGAATGAAAAAAAATATATACCTGAATCAAAAAAGGCATGAACACTATATTTTACTAAATATTCACTACAGAAATATGGGAGAGCCAGTTGATTAGAATCAACCATCTGAACAAACTGACTAAAATGAACTAGACTTGAAAAATGTATTAAAGTTAGCAGCTTTTCTGCTTTTCATTAGTGATTCCCCAGCACAGAGTGTTTGTACAGACACACACCCTCTTTTATCCCGACCCACCCCACCTGAAAAACCTGCCTTAAGATATACAAACAAAACCACGCGTTTCCCACCACCCCAGCGAAAGAAAGAGACTCAAAGAGAGGACGAGGAGAAGCGAGGGAGGGTGGGTGGGAGAGCCACGTTTGAGAGTAAGAGATCCTGAGAAGTCAATGTCAAGCCAGTGATTTTCCACCACTCGCACCTGAATAGCATCTTACACTGAGCTACAGAGACAAGTGGCACGGAGGAGTTCAGTTCAGCGAGTTCACAAACTAATGTCAGCGCTGTGTGCTCCTGCTGCCTGTTGAGGGAAACACTAGACATCTGATGCTTTGATTATACATCTCCTAATGAAAGGTTGTCTGAACTTTCACCAGATTATCAAACACACACGCACATGTTGGCTTTCCATGTTTTATGGGGACTTTCCATTGACAACAAACTACAAACTTTATATTCTGTCCCCTAAACCTATACCCATCACAGATTTTGCATTTTCGAAAAAACTTTTACTTTTGATTTCTAAGCTGTTTTCCTCATGGGGATCAAAAAATATCTTTACTTCCTTTCTGGGCCTTCCTCTCATTGTTTAATCAAAAATATGTTTATTTTTGGGTGGACTGACCCTTAAACTCTCAAGACCCTTAAAAAATACATTTTCATTACTTAAAATAAAATGTAAAAAAAAAAAAAAAAAAACATACATCTATTTTATTTAAGCTAGTTGCCAAGGCTTTAGTTCTCATTTTAAAACAAACAAATAAATAATTAAAAACAAAAACTGAAATAAATAAATAAAAACTATATAGCCATATTTATTTAGACATAACAACTATTAATACAAATGTATATATATGTAAATATACGTAAATATACTGTAAGATGTAAACCAGAATATATATATATATATATATATATATATATATAGATAGATATATAGATATATAGATATAGATATTATACATAATATTCTGAAATGTAAAACCTCAAAATTTAGTTTTTTTCTTTTTCTTTTTTACAGTTTACAATACATACACATCATTAGATGTATCCCACAATCCTCTATCACACACTGCCAAAGCACATGGTAGCATTTCCCTTGCCCTTTTACCCAACCTCTCAATGCTGAACCCTGTAAGGTCATGTGTGTGTGTGTGTGTGTGTGTACCTGGGCAGTAGAAAGGGCACATTGGCAGCGTTGGGCAGAACCAGTGGAAACTTCCTGTTTTAGTGAGGAGGGCATTCGACACTGCACCCATTCACCCCCTCTCTCGATCTCTCCGGCTGCTCCATTCACCCTCCCTCGCGTCGAGGCTCTATTAGATAGTCTGAAGAGGTCAAAGGAAGTCACATGATTAATTGCACCAGAAAATGACATTGTCCTTTTTAAATCATCTATTCAGTATATCAAGAAAATGCTTGATCGTTAATCTTTGGCCTTTCCTGTAATAAGTCTATTGGATTTTTTTTCATCTAATTTATTTGTTAAGCATGCACTACATGAAAGGTAATATCCCAAAAAGCATAACATGGGCACTATTAAGTTTTTGGGGTAATAACTAATAACATTTCATGTAATGTGTAAAATGGCTGTTTCTATATGTAAAAGCTCTGCAGATTTTTAACCAGTTATTGTCTCCTAAAAGAAAGAAGCGATTCTGAACTGCCTGAGATCACGGCAGACCAATCACGACAGACTGGGCCATCTGACCAATCAGAGCAGAGTAGACCAATCACAACAGACTGGGTCATCTGACCAATCAGAGCAGAGTAGACCAATCACAACAGACTGGGTCATCTGACCAATCAGAGCAGAGTAGACCAATCACAACAGACTGGGCCATCTGACCAATCAGAGCAGAGTAGACCAATCACAACAGACTGGGTCATCTGACCAATCAGAGCAGAGTAGACCAATCACAACAGACTGGGTCATCTGACCAATCAGAGCAGAGTAGACCAATCACAACAGACTGGGCCATCTGACCAATCAGAGCAGAGTAGACCAATCACAACAGACTGGGTCATCTGACCAATCAGAGCAGAGTAGACCAATCACAACAGACTGGGTCATCTGACCAATCAGAGCAGAGTAGACCAATCACAACAGACTGGGTCATCTGACCAATCAGAGCAGAGTAGACCAATCACAACAGACTGGGTCATCTGACCAATCAGAGTAGACCAATCACAACAGACTGGGTCATCTGACCAATCAGAGCAGAGTAGACCAATCACAACAGACTGGGCCATCTGACCAATCAGAGCAGAGTAGACCAATCACAACAGACTGGGCCATCTGACCAATCAGAGCAGAGTAGACCAATCACAACAGACTGGGTCATCTGACCAATCAGAGCAGAGTAGACCAATCACAACAGACTGGGTCATCTGACCAATCAGAGCAGAGTAGACCAATAACGACAGACTAGGCCATCGGACCAATCAGAGCAGAGTAGGCTCTCGGAAAGGAGGGGTTTAGAGAGGCTGAATCCTTGATTGAAGTATTTCAGACAATGTGAGAAATAAAAGTTGATGGTGCAGTGTAGAAAACTGAGTTGTTTTTATTTGGAAGCATGCAAACCTATTGTAGGGGAGCCTCTAAAAACAAAATTGGGGACCTATAGGGGCACTTTAAACCCCACCCAACAGGAATAGCCATGAATGCCTTCACAAATATGTAAATGATGTAAAATTGTACATAGTGAAAGGATTGATTGTATTGTGGAATGATGTAAAAATGGAGTCATGCTATGATGCAACACTGGAGTGACATCGTCTTACAGTGGCTTGACCTTTTTTAGTAGTTTTTAAACTGAAGTGTCAGAGCTATTTTTTTTATGAGAAAGAACGCGATCATCCCTGCTGTGCGGGCTGTTAGCGAAATCATGGAAAAGTTGGTTCAGCTTTTACAGTTCGGAAAAGTTGATTTGGTCTCATAAAGTCTCTTGTGCACGAGGGTTTGCGGGCAGAAGAGCGTCCGCCTCGTTCTCCTCCTCTCATTGACACGGGATCAATTTTCCTGCGGCAGCACTAAATCAAACCCTCCGCTTTAAGAGATAGACAAGAGATCCGTCAAGACGAGTGGCGCGTGAGTCAGGGAGCGCTGGGAGTGTGAGGGGGAGACTCACAAGGACACCTTTATCAGCACTGCGTGTGTGTGTGTGTGTGTGTGAATGTGTGTATGAGATGTCTAAAAAGTGCACAGACAGGTATTAACTGTCTCGCAGCGCAGGACTCTGAGAGCTGGCATGCAGTTTGGTGTTTACAGAGCAAATACAGACGCACACACACACACTCGAACTAGCGCAGTGCTCAGCTGGACTCGCTGGCCGCTCACCACCACAGCGCAGCAGGCATGAGTCATCATCATCGGCACAGCAACAGCGGCTGCGGGTCTGTCCTGGAACGGGCACAATTCTGCTAGATATGATTAAGACTATCAGATTCTATTAAAGGGATAGTTCACCCCAAAATGAAAATTAGCCCCTGATTTACTCACCCTCAATTCATCCTAGGTGTATGACATTCTTCTTTCAGTCGAATACAATCAGAGAGTTATATTAACAAATCCTGGCTCTTTTATAATGGCAGTGAATGGTTGTTTTATAAAAGTGCATCTATCTATCATAATAGTGCATAGATAGATAAAAAGTACATAGATAGATAGTGCATCATAAAATTGCATCTATCCATCATAAAAGTGCATATATCTATCATAAAAGTGCATCTATATACATTAAAAGTGCATCTATCCATCATAAAAGTGCATCTATCTATCTATCTATCTATCTATCTATCTATCTATCTATCTATCTATCTATCTATCTATCTATCTATCTATCTATCTATCTATCTATCTATCTATCTATCTATCTATCTATCTATCTATCTATCTATCTATCTATCTATCATAAGTGCATCTATCCATCATAAAAGTGCATCTGTATACATTTAAAGTGCATCTATCCATCATAAAAGTGCATCTATCATCATAAAAGTGCATCTGTCCATCATAAAAGTGCATCTATCCATCATAAAAGTGCATCTATCCATCATAAAAGTGCATCTACTGTATCATCATAAAAGTGCATCGATCCATCATAAAAGTGCATCTATCTATCATAAAAGTGCATCTATCCATCATAAAAGTGCATCTATCCATCATAAAAGTGCATCTATCTATCATAAAAGTGCATCTATCCATCATAAAAGTGCATCTATCCATCATAAAAGTGCATCTATCTATCATAAAAGTGCATCTATCTATCATAAAAGTGCATCTATCCATCATAAAAGTGCATCTACTGTATCATCATAAAAGTGCATCGATCCATCATAAAAGTGCATCTATCCATCTTAAAAGTGCATCTATCATCATAAAAGTGCATCTACTGTATCATCATAAAAGTGCATCGATCCATCATAAAAGTGCATCTATCCATCTTAAAAGTGCATCTATCCATCATAAAAGTGCATCTATCCATCTTAAAAGTGCATCTATCCATCATAAAAGTGCATCTATCCATCATAAAAGTGCATCTATCCATCTTAAAAGTGCATCTATCCATCTTAAAAGTGCATCTATCTATCATAAAAGTGCATCTATCTATCATAAAAGTGCATCTATCTATCATAAAAGTGCATCTATCTATCATAAAAGTGCATCTATCCATCATAAAAGTGCATCTCCAAAAATAACAAAAACTTTGGAAGAGCCAGGACATTTGTTTATATAATTGTATTTGTCTGCTGAAGAATGTCACATACACATAGGATGACTTGTGGGTGAGTAAATCATGGGCTAATTTTCATTTTTTGTGTGAACTATCCCTTTAAGGCTTGTAAAAACAAATAAATGTTCTTCTAGGTTTGGAACAGCATACTTTAGGTAACACTGTATTTTTTTACAGTGTCCTTGTTATATGTTAGGCTACATGTACTTACTGTTGTAATAACAGTAAATTATGCATAATTACATGCAACTAACCCCAAACCGATCTCTATTCCAAACCCAAACCCTACATGTTGTTAATATTAATATTACTCAGTACTTAAATGTATAACAAGGACACCTATAAATAAAGTGGAAATTCAGAAAATTTTACTCAGTCTGTTGTTTAATTGTGGATTTCTCCAGCAAGGACATCAAATTTACTCTCTAGTTAAACTTGGGCATCGAGTGTGCTAATCTCTCTCTCTCTGAGCTCATATAAATGGATGATAAACCTCAGTGCGGGGACAGATGGAGGGAAGGCTTTGACTTTCTTTAATAATTCATCTCACGCTTATAAGAGCTAGCCTCTATAAAAGCTTCTGAGGTCGTCGCAGTCACAGGGTCAAATCACAACCTGCTTATGACTGAGAGACTGAGAACGAATCTCCTGAAAAGCATAAGATGCCAACTTTGAATGAGACAGGGTGTTTCTTCAACTACATGCACACTCTAGACAACGCTGGGTTGTTTTAACCCAAATTTGGGTCAATTATGGACAAACCCAAATGTTGGGTTAAAAAAAAAAATTAACCCAACTTCAACTTTCACTTTCAACTGTAATTTTTCTGAATTATATTTTTAACCCAACATTTGGGTTTGTCCATATTTTACCCAAATTTGGGTTGAAACAACCCAGCATTTTTTAGAGTGCACAGGCTGACTCAACAAGACTAAATATAAAATTAAATAAAACTGATTTATTATTACTACAAATAAACCTGAATATATACACGTTTATACATAATATATAAAAAATAGACATTTAAAGTCAATTTTAAAATAGTAACAAAATAAAAGCAACTTTCAACAAGACTTTCAATGTTAAATTATGAAAATCTCAGAATAAAACATTTCAAACAATAAAACTGAATCATTAAAACATTCCAACATTTATGCTGTGAAAATGATTTGTATCATTTTCACACAAACAAAAACTTCAAGGCATATGTGAACCGAATATTTTTGTATTTCAAGTTGACTGATTCATTTTAAATGTAATATTTATTAATGCGTTTATATAACATGTTAACTACGAAATTGGGCTTAGCTAGAATAATAAAAAAGTAAAATAAAAATAATAATGCACATTATCTGACATAAAAATGACACTGGCGGAAATCATAATGACTTTCATAACAAAAATGTCTGTTATTTCCAAGGCTGAATATTATTTGTAGACAAATTAGGTAAATGTGAGTGTGAAAAGTATTTTGAAGAGAGTTTACTTTCTAAAAATCCACAGGGCCCACATATTGCGCTCTCTCTGGTGGGCATGCAGGCGCTCTGAATATATGATTATTAATGCGTTGCTCCTGGTACTGTTTATGTTTGCTTCTTATGGTGTTTCGCAGGCTCTCTATTTCAGGAAAGTCTGAACGTGGAGCAGATAAATGAGAGCTCATCAGTGTATAGCGCACACAAACACAAACACACTCGCACACATCGGCTCCCAGCGCTGCGTATCGACTTGACAAAATGTTACAATTACCGCAGGCTACTGCCAGCTGTGTTTTACTGTGGGATTTGAATCTCATTAAAGGTGAGCGTGGTCATTTTTTCCTCATTAAAGTTTAACAAATAAATTAGGGGTACTTTTGGAAAAATATGTTTTTAAACCCATTATTCAACATATTCGCCTATGAAATAATTGAACTGCTGCATGCTGATCCTTTGTTAATGCATCTTACTACTGAATGCAAATATGTTCCTTCCCACAAACCTCTACCAGAATTTAGGCAAGTGTGTGTGTGTCATTCTGGGATTATTGTAATGTGGATGCATTCCAGCTATCTAATTGCAGTGGAGAGCAGCTATAGCTGTGTTGGTGTGCTGGGAATAAATGAGCTTAGGGTGTCTACAGACTGACAGAAGCACCACGTGAACGTGTGTTTGTGTGTGTGTGAGAGAGAGAGAGAGACTGAGGGAGGCAGAGAGAAACAAAGAGAGACTGGACGAGAGAAAGCCCATATATCTTAGCATCCTTGTCTGCTCTGCGATAACGAGGTGAAAGTGTGTGTAAAAGATTGATGCTGGACCTGTGTGAGCACAGCAGAAAGAAAGGCAAGAATAGATAACAAATCCTGTGAAACGTAGCCTCAGATAGTCGGGTAAAACCGCTTCTGTTTACAAATGGTCAATCAATGTTATTTATGGTGAGTGTCTGAAAAGCTTATTATAGCTCGTATGTATATTATCAGCTTTTCAGCAACAGAAAAAGTTAACATTGGCCGCAATCTAGCGATGTTTCTAAGACGTTTTAACAGTACTCTGAATGAAAGAATCAAATGAAAGATAAGCATCAAAAATAACTCCAAGGTTCCTCATTTTACTGTGGAAACAGAGCCATCAAGAGTCAAGGTTATAAGGTTATTACCAATACAACCATCAGACACAATACACAACAGACAAATAAATAAATAATTCTGCATTCTGTGACTAATAAACCCTAATTAGGAGACACACACACAAAAAAATTCAATTTCATAGCTAAAAAACAGTCAGCAATTTCAACAATTTTACACAATATTTACTAAAATACATTTTAAACCATTGGACAGTTAATAAATATAAAATAAATAATGAATATAAAGTTAAAATAATTGTAGATGCACAACATAAATGCAGCTATTTTATACTATATATATATATATATATATATATATATATAAACTATATTTATATATTTTAGATTTTATTTTAATTAAAATGTATATTTAAATGTATAATAACTGAATAAAAATAAATATGTACAAATATTTATAGTTTCTACAACATTGCTGCAATAATCTGTATATTTATTTTACATAATACGAAAATAAAACATGAACATTTTTGAAATAATTCATAATCAATCAACATGAAAAATAATTATTCTAATTAATATTTTATATAATAATTACCCACATAATTTCAATCAATTGATAAAAAAAAATCTAATTTTGAAAAATAAATCTGTAAGAAATGTATTTGACAATAATAAGAAAGTTGCTCTCCAGTGACAGCTCTGGTGATATATTGGTCGTCCACTACTTTCTGGCATTACGCAAGTCATCATGTTTTATATCAACTCCCATCACTGTCACTATGATTACAGTCATTATTCATAGCTGTCGAGACAATAGAAAAGGGGCTTGAGTTGTTGATCAATACAGACAGTATTCGAGATGTAGGGATGATGTCGAGATGTCTTTTTCAGAGTCACATCTGTTAGTAAATACAATTGTCAACTGAGTGAATGTATTTTTGGTCAATGATATATGTGTAGCTGCTGTTAGACCTCTCAACACACAGCTCACGATCACGAACCGAACCGGCCCTGTGGACTTACGGATGTGGAGATGCCATGGTCGATTGTGTTACAGAGCAGAGAAAGAGGAGCAGAAAGCAGAAACAGGCTTGTAGAAAATGGACCGCAAAATAGCTGCAGAGGTTTTTCAGGGAAAGAAAAAAGTGGCTAAACCAGGAGTCACCGAACCTTCATTTTCCTCACATTTACCGCTCTCCATCTCTCTTTCTTACCGCTTATGACCCCATTTCTCCTATCTAAACTGCTGCATAATGGAGTTCAGGGCCGATGGCATCATGGCAGGAAAACCAGCAGAAGCTTTTATATCAAGGTACCAATGTCCTGACATATATCTGCAGGAACTGGAGTGGACACTATATCATTAGCTGTATATGTATGAAGATTCCCAGAAAAGCTCTCTGCGTTTATCGGCTCTGCCAGACACTCGCCAGCTACTGATGCAGCTCTGTGTAGAGTTTTAGCAATTTAACTGAGCTACTGAGTGTGTAAGAGAGAACTCATTTCACTATTCATTGTAATTAATTCTTTCATTAGACTCAAGACATTAAAACACTGCGTGCTGAAACTGTGAAACACACATTTCTAGCACACCCAAATAAAATGCATAGAAATGTACTGAAATAGTTCATGCAACATTCCGAAGTTTGTCCTAGTCAACTGGTAGTCATTCATTGAAGCCATTAGTCGACATTATAGCACATTTATGATAATAATAGTGTTTTCTAAAACCGTTGGCTCTTCATTATAGTGGATGCGCCAATGGAGAGAAATGCACGCCATTTTAAACGTCACGCAGTAAACACACAAACAAACAAACACTTGGATATGCGCCTAATTATAGCACATATTTATCTAGGTTAATGTTCGAATGAGAGGTGAGAAATGTAAAGTGGCTAACCTTAGGCTATAAATGATAATGCATGTTTGAGTTTGATGAATGAATTGCCTGTAGAGTTTGCTTGGCACCTTTTTGGAGAAGGTCCTCACTGCAAAATACAAAATCCAGGGGGGAGGAGTTAGATCCAGATATCCATATACCTAATCCTACCCATCTCCAAAATGAAAAATGACACAAAGCACCATGAAAGTACAATCCATCTTATCAATAAGACTTTTGTGATATTTTTTTCTAAAGCTGCAGTGGAATTAAAAAAGAAATTGGAGAAGAAAGAAAGCCATACAGGATTGGAATTACAGGACAGAATCTTAATGTTTGGGCGAACTAATAATAAATGTGTACACAACCTAAACTTATGCAAAGACATGCTTTTAGTTTACATATGAATGTATATGCCCATAAGGCAATGCATATTCTAGGAATCTTTGAAACAGTCTTAAATACTGTACACAAAACTCTGGGGAAATTCCACTGAAACAGAGCGCTCAAACGAATAAGAGTGGGTGTGTATAAACGAGAGCAAAGAAGGCTGAGAGAGGAGAGAGAGAGAGAGAGAGAGAGAGAGAGAGAGAGAGAGAGAGAGAGAGAGAGAGAGAGAGAGAGAGAGAGAGAGAGAGAGAGAGAGAGAGAGACTGAGTTTGTGGGTGGCTAGGTTTGAATAGCCTAATGGTTTTGGAGAAATGAACAGTGCTGTTCCCTTTTTAAATGTTAAATCGCATGCAACATGCAGAAACTTGATAAAGCTCAGTGAAGCTAAGGATATCTAATTTATCTACTAAAGAACATCTCAAACAGGAATAGACCATGTAAAATTAATTACTCACCCTCATCATTAGAAACATGCTTCAGGAGACCTTCTTTCTCCTAAAAGCAAATTTAGCAGATGATGCTCCTTTCCATACAATGCTGCACAGATAGATAGACGGACGGACGGACGGACGGACGACGGACAACATATCATTCCTTTCCAAATCTGAATTACTAGAAACCCTTCTAAATAAATGCTAAATACTGCATTGGTAGTCTTAAATTCACCACTGACCTGTAAGACTGACCTTTAACTTTTGAACTCCATTTAGCAGATTGAGGGAAGGGTCAACACAGCTCAGCAAGATTTCACTTTCACTGCCTCAGGCCTTCAGCAGAACCTTTCACGAGTCTTGGGTTTGTTTGATGTGGTGTTTGTTCACTGCTTTTGTTCTAGGGTGGAAGAAGTTCAGGATTTTAGGAGCACTCTTAAATAGGATACACAACCCGAAATAGCATTGCTCACGGGATACTGTATGATGATAAGTGACTCTAATTAAACAGCTTATATTTGAAATGACACGATGCTGTGTTAAAACTTTCAAGAGTTAAAACTAAACTGTGCAGGGTGGACGACCTCCAGGAGCAGAATTACTGTAAGTGCCCCTGCTGTAGAGGATTTAAGCTAAGATTTTAATGATATTGTCTAGTGCCAAACTTTCCCTCTTATGGCAGCCTGCTGATTTATAGTCTTCACAGGGCTTTAAATGGCACATGGGAAATTAGCCTTTACATTTATATTCCCATTTATGCATGTAGCAAATGCTTTTATCCAATTGCATTGGAGGTCTAATGCCTTCCATAGGAATCGAACCAACGACCTTGGTGTTGCTAGTGCTATGCTCTACTGTTTAAGCTACTTTACCTGTTTCACCCTCTTCTTCTTCTCTTTCTCAGGCCGAGTACTCAGCGGCAGCGGTGTTGCATCAGTCCCGCCGGGATCAGGTGGCGGACACGTGTCGCGCCCACAGTGCGTCCAGCCGCAAGCGCCGCGTCCTGACCCCCAGCGACCTCAAGCATCTAGTGGTGGACGAGGAGCACGAGCTCATCTACTGCTACGTGCCCAAGGTGGCCTGCACCAACTGGAAGCGGGTCATGATGGTGCTGAGCAGTCGGGGCAAGTACAGCGACCCAATGGAGATTCCTTCCAACGAGGCCCACATCCCCTCCAACCTCAAGACCCTCAACCAGTATAGCATCCCTGATATCAACCACCGGCTCAAGAACTACCTCAAGTTCCTCTTCGTGCGCGAGCCCTTCGAGCGGTTGGTGTCGGCCTACCGCAACAAGTTCACGCTCCGCTACAACACCTCGTTCCACAAACGCTACGGGACAAAGATTGTGCGCCGGTACCGCAAGAACGCCACGGCCGAGGCCCTGCAGAGCGGTGCCGACGTCAAGTTCCAGGAGTTCGCAGAGTACCTGGTGGACCCGAGTACTCATAGAGAAGCTCCGCTCAACGAACACTGGCAGACAGTCTACTCGCTCTGCCACCCCTGCCACATCCACTACGACCTGGTGGGCAAGTACGAGACTCTGGAGGAGGACGCCAACTACGTGCTCAAGCTGGCAGGGGTGGGCGACTCGTTGCGCTTCCCGTCGTACGCCAAATCCACCCGTACCACCGACCAAATGGCGGCCATGTTTTTCAACAACATCAGCTCCCAGCAGCAAAGCCAACTCTACCAACTCTACAAACTGGACTTTCTTATGTTTAACTACTCCATTCCCAGCTACCTAAAACTGCAGTAAACGAACTCGTCCAACGAGATTGATCAACGGAAGAATGGCCATGGCTGAAAGACACAGGCGGGGGGAAATCAACCAAGCTCCTAAATGTAAAATTGTATTTAACTCCGCTGGGATGGTTGCATTATTTCCAAACAACCAAGGAGCCGTCGGTCTACTGCAAATGCGTAAAGCGGACCACACTTGAAACTGAAGTCCTGATGTATTTGTACATTATCAGTGTAAAGGCTCCTGTTCCCAAACATCAAAAGCAATATGACATATTCTGAGCTGTACCAGCTCAACTGGTTTATCTATTAATATACTCTGCCAGCCATGGCCATTGTCGAAGCTTCACAGAAAGGAGCGGCTAGACTAATAATAAGACTTGAGATACAATCAGACTTCAGTTCCCCACTTCTAATTTCGTGTTCCCTTTGGAAGTTCACTCTTTTCCCCCATACTCAGACGGCCTTTGTGTGTATGTATTTATACGGTGCATATTTGAAGATGCACGCTAAAATAAGAATGACAAAAAACGAGGCATTGAATGATGCCTTTTTGAAGGGGCATATCCATTTGTGAGTGACCGGGAGGGGCTCCGCCTACTGGGTCAGTCAGGGAGCGTCTGTAGCAGTCAGGAGGTCAGAGGTCACTGCGAGTTGGCCTCAAGCACACTGTTCCCACAACCCCTCCTCCCTTGGTAGGTCTTCGGTAAATGTAAGGATTTGGGGAGTTTTGTTTTATTTTGTATTTGTTTATAATTGAAAAAGTTGCTGCGAGCAGCACGCTATAATATTATTTGAATTGCTGTGTGAAATAGAGATTTGGTTTCCAGGAAAGGAAATCAGCTTAGCGCTAGAGGTTTAATTGTTATAATTTGTTCATATTTCTTCTTGCCTCATGTGCACAGTTGCTGGGATACCTCGCTGGTTGTTTTGTGACGGCTGTATGGAAACGGGCAGGACTTTGTTTTCTGGGCTGTTCTCATGGGAAAGTTTCACACAGTTGTGTGCGTTTGAGAGAGAGAGAGAGAGAATGCAGGCAAATCTGTTCCATCCATTAGATGATTTAAACGTCTTTCTCAATTTGAGAAGGTTAAAGGAACACCCTTTAATTTAGCAAGCTGTCTTTTATGACCATGATTTGCTTTGACGCTGCACAAAAATGGTAAAAACGGCTTGTTTATGTGCGCGATGGCACAAGTGGGTGTGTCCAAGTGCTTTATCTCAATGTCTTTGTACCAAATCTTGACTCTGACTGGCAAAGGTAACGGATAAAAGGCTTCTTTCAGCTTTCTCTCTCCCCACATCTCTCTACTTTTTAGGAAAAGTCCTGGGTTTTTTTGGCCTGAAAAAAACGGACAAACCCAAGCTACCGTTATCAACTTCTCTTTTCCCCTCTTAATTCACTTTATTTCTGCTGGTGTTCCTTTCTCACGCTAAATCTTATCCTAAGCTTCCTCTTCATGCAGAAAACAGTAAAACCGTTCATGGATTTGTCAAAGTCATAAAAAAACTCATTTCTTGTCATCTAGTAATTATCGCAAGTGATTGGCTGGTTAGGACAAAAACTCAGATAGACATGCAAGAGATTCCAGTAGATCAATTTAGCGTATTCACAAAAGACACAAAAACCCTTTGTGTAGTCGTTCTTCGAATGCCTGTTCAAATCTCATCTAACCTCTTCGCCAGAGCAGGAAATTAATCCTCAAGTCTGAACTTCTTTTTTTTGAATCATCAGCTCAGAAAACAAAGTGTGCCAGAATGGTTTCGCAGTTTTTCAAACCTGTTTATTTCATTTGTTCTGTAACAACAAACACGGTACAGCCTCATTAGCGCCCACACGGCAGCCACACTAATACATGCATTAGCGCCCACATTAGCAGGCACAGTGCCTTTCAAACTGTCACTCTATCACATGTAGTACAGCACACTCTCATTGCATGCAACTTGCATTTTTAGAAATAAAAAAACAAACATGATTTGCTTGATTTATGATTCATGCATCCAGCTGAGGACATTCCCAGACTGAGGTTTATCATATTTAGCTAATTTAGCTAATTTTTCACACTTAGGTACAGTGGCCCACCATCCACACATGGTTTACCTGTTTCTCTATGTGCCTGTTTAATTAATGTTTGGTTTAATGTTTCCACATTTGTTTTGCATTGAGCATCCGCTCACTTTCTTCTCAAACATTTTTTTAAACCATTCACAGTCTAATTTATTTATTTATTCCTCCTCGGTATTCAGGATGGACTCTGGAGGGTCACAGGTTGGACCCTCGCACTGTATATGGGAAAAATACAAACCAAGTGAACTGTCAGATCAATGCGCTCCCTGGAGAACGCACTCACACTGTCTCTCTATCTCTTTTTCTCTCCTGTTTTCTCAATAAAGCTGAAACTGAACCCCTTAGTGGCCAATTTGTCACTGTCTCTGTCTCCACATAATCATTAAACTCGAGTGAAAATGTTGTCACTCGTTTAAGTGATCTTTTTAACACAGCTGTTCCTCCTCATTTGACATGGTTTCTGGTGCTTTTATGCTAAGACGATCTATTGGAGAACATCAAATCTTTCTTTGAACCCTGCACCGCATGGCCCTTCTCACAGTTTCTTATAGGGGATTTGTTCAATCACAAAGTTCCTTAAATCCCCAAAACTTAACGAGACTTATTCAAAATAAACAGAGGCTGAATATAAACCCTCACCTTTGGATAAACAACATTTATGTCTGTCTGTGGGCTTATAGTACAGTTTAAAGCCATTTATGCCTTCTGTAGCTCAACTGGTTGAATTTGTTGCCAGTAATGCCAAGGTTCAGCTTTATGCCTGAAAAAGTAAACATGGGAACTAATAAAAATGCGCCAATGTATCGGTCAATAAAAGTTCCTCCCACTGTGGTCCGAGACCGAGTCAAGACCAAGTCTTTGAAGGGTCGAGACCGAGTCAAGACCAAGTCTTTGAAGGAACAAGTCCGAGAAGAGTCCAAGAGACCAGACTCGAGTACTATATCACTAGTTTGTGCAATGATGAGTCAGCAATGGCAACTGTCAACACTGACTCTGAATCACTTACTCTTATTAAAACAGATTTCGTAAAATTGATCTAAAAAACATATCGTTCAGGAAGGTATTGGTAGACAATTTTTGAATGATACCCAAGCTTCAAACTCAAGAAAAAGCTTCAAACTCAAGACTTTAACTGTCAAATGTGTGGTTTTGGAAGACTATAATATTTGACAATATTGCTGACCTTGTGGTGCTGGCAGGGCCTCTCAGATCTTGTGGTGAGTCCAGATGTGTCTGGTTATATGAGCGCCCTGCTATATCCCAGCGAGATTTAAAGTGGGACCTTTGAAGATTTGATGCGAGAGGAAACGCAAAAGCGTGCCAAGCTTTTGTGTCACATAGGTGCAATAGATCAGCATTTTGGGCTGCCAGAGAAATGTATGTCACTCCACTGTGAAGAAAGATTCATGCACAGTTTTGCGCTTCAGTAGCGGGTTGTCACTTTGGTGTCAAGAGCGAGATTGCAGGCAAAACCGTCTCATCAAAAACCCTGAGCTTTGAGATTTTTTTGTTGCTGAATCTGCAATTCTCATGAAAATTTGCTACCACACCTGTTTTGGTCTCCTCCCAGAAGCCTCCGCTCCACCCTCCACCGTAACCTCTCGGTTATGCTGAGAATACACCATTGGGGGGAGTTCATCCTTTGAATTAACCCGGGTCCTTCGGCCACATCAAACTTGGCACAGCAAACTGTTCTCAGCGAACACGTGCAGGGTCAAGTTGGCAGCGGTTCTCTGTCATTATCCAACATATGAAGGGTTGAAATGATGATGTTGCGTGGAAGTTAGATGTTGTTCCCTTGGGGACCGCTACACTGTTTACTGCTAATATGCAGGCGTAGCTTAAAACCACTATCATTTGGTATAATCTCTAAGCTCTAAAAGCCAACCAAAGACTTGCAAGATATTTTCACTGAAGTGGTCCTTAATTCCCAAGGATGAAATTGGTTGTGGTTCAATCACAGCTTAGAAGATTTTCCGTCCATCCATTTCCATAAGAAGTGTTTCTCAGTGCTGTATACTTGATTAATCCATAGTAATCCATTTGCACGACAGTTGAACTCCTTCAACCCTTTGCTTTGACTTCAGTCGAGGAGGAATTTCACACCTGAATGGCAGAAACCGCTCTCCGTTGGCACCTAAGCATGACAGAGAATGACAACTTTCGCTGACATCTTTCTCTCTCATGGCTGAATTTAGCAAGTACTGACAAAATCGAGACAGGTGATTTATGTTAAAGTCATGACAGTTTACCCAAAAATAAAAATCTGGCATCTTTTACTCACCTTTATTTCCATCCAAACCTGTTTGACTCACTTCCTTCAGGAGAATGCAAAAAAATGAAAGTTTTAGAGAATATTTTGATTGTTTTCGTCTACACAATGAAGGTCAACGGGCTCCAAAACAATGGGGCCCTATAACATGGACAAAAGAGAAATTTTTCAAAATATCATCTTTTGCTTTCCACGTATGAAAGAAACGTGTACAGGTTTGGAACGACATGAGGGTGAGCAAACAACTTTTCATTTTTGGGTGAACTATCCATTCAAAATATTCCTGAACTTGAATACATTTCAGGTCAGAATGGTTCTGGATAAGTCCAAATGGAGAAATAAAAGTGACCACAGTGAGTAAAGAGCAGTTGTACAGTCCAACGGCCCTCAGAACTGATTAAAGTGGATTTCTTGGATGATGTCCTTCAGTCTAAACTATCATTTTGGCTTGTATTGAACTTTCATCTCTCACGCCCGTGCCAGGGGACGACTCCAAATCCAATCTTTACTCGATGATTAGGATGGCAAAGGTTGTGATGGAAGAGTGGGCGTTGTGTCGACTTAAGACCGACTTAATTTCCATCGTTCAGTGCTGCCTATAGTGTCAGAAAAAGGCAAGGTTATGTTGTTATATGAAAGTGAAATAGTCTTGGATCATTAAAGTGAAAGCCCTAAAGTGTTTTCCAATTTGTAACAATAAATTCAACATCACAATCTGGTCAGGCAAAGCTTGAAGGGAAAATATCACCTCAAACTGCATTTTCAAGGTTTGTGCCTCACACAAAGGGGTAGCTGTTTTTTCCTAATCCGAGGAGGTCTACCAGAATTTACCAACCTGACCACGAAGGTCTACTAGGCCAAAACCGGGTCCCCCTTTTGGTAGTCAAGCTACAGTAGTAAACTATTCAGACCAGCTTGAGACCATATAAAACCAGCTACCACCTTAATGTGTTTCCAACAGGAAACAACATAAACCCACAAAATCAAAGCCAATTTTGAAAGTCATCGCACCGATTAGCTACACAAGAACAGTAAATTGGCTTGATGACCTGTCTGTTGTTAGTGGTGAACATTAGGGATCATAGTACAGAGGCTGCATAGACTGGAGCTTTTGGTCCATTTTTTTTATAGAGTGCTAATATACAACAGCAGGGTCCCTGTGGCTCGATTTGGGGGCCGTTTATGAGCAGGCTCCAATTTCAGGGCCCCAAATCCACCACAACACTCATATAACCCCATTAAACCCTGAAGACAGGGGAGTTCAACGGCCAGCATTAACACGATCCGTCTAGACTCCCGAACACGCACACAGGGGTCTTTTGTTTTAGACTGTCGACAATAATATGCACAAACTTTGAGTGATAAGTGACGTCTGGAAATAGTTCGCATTTAATAGCCTATAATGAGCTGTATAAAAGGTGATACAGTAAATATCTGTCCACAGAAGCCATGCTAATGCGTGAATGAAATTATGGACAGGCCACCAAATTGCATTTACTGTGAATATCAATTTCTAAGCTTGGCTACTGCATTGAAAAAAGCTCAGTTTGACAAAACTGCTGAAAGGTTGTGTAAAGCGTACATTTTAAGGGCACACTTTGATGTATTTTTTGGCAGAGATTTTTGTAATCAAATAAAAACCCTTTATGGTTTGTGCTTTATTGTTCTCAATCTCGCACAGCAAGCAAATACCTACCGCTTGAATGTACGTAAAGCTTTCTCATTAAAGCGCAAGAGGTTTCTAAACCAATAAGTGGGGGCTGCGCTGCATCCCTGCTGTTCAAAAGACATCAAATGCAGGTAATAACAATCGACAGAGTTAAATTAGGGCCCTCAGGAGACTTAAGGAGGAAAAAAATAAACCTCAGACTGACAGATATTGGACGTAAACTTTTATTAAATCTTTATTAAACATTTTGAGTATCAAAAAAGCATGGCAGAAAGATACACCAAGAGTCCTCCATTGGTGCAGGTAGAAACTCTCTTTTTCCCAATAGAAAAATCGCTGTTCATGGCACCTTCATAACAATGTACAAAAAAAAAGTTCACATACACACACAGAAATATAGACTTGTATAGGAGTGTCTCTGTTGCACATTCACCCCATATTGTTTTCGGTTGCATACATGAGCTAAAGTCAATCTTTACTCAAGATTTTCTTGAATGAGCCGTTGAAAAGCTATTCCCTTTTCTCAAAGCAGATATATATATATTAGTTCATTATTCTACACTATTAAGCGATACTTTAACTTTCAAACTGCATTACAGAGGTTTAGACGAATTGACCTGGCACTGGTTGAGTAAATGAGTAAAACTGTGCGGCTATACTTGTAATAAGGTCCGATCACGATTTGTGGCAACAAGGTTGTGTCTCAAAAGAGACAACAAAAAACATGAGTAAAGAAGTAAATAAAGAAGGACAACGACAAAAGTGGCAAATAAATAAAGTACAATCGCCAGGACAATCTTATATATTTTGTTTAAGGGTTTGTATTTGGTCCTTCCACTGCTATAGTGCTGGTAAGGAAAACTGACAGGGCAGGAGAGAGCATTTAAGATGCTTTTCGTACAGTCCCAACTTCAGATGCACAAGAAATCACAGTTTTTGCACACTGAATGCGCTGAATCTCTCGATGCTTCTTATAAATCATCTGGCACTTTAAGAAGAGTAACAAAAATGTTTTAACCCGACAGAGAAATGCAAAGGTGCCACATGCCATTGGATCCGACAAGCAGCCATTCAAGGCAATAAGTGAGGACGGCAAGTCTGATATACTTGGATCAAAGAATGACCTCAGTCACCCACATCACTGTCTTGGTCTCCGATGATAAACAGGAAGTGGAAGCTGAGAGCTAGGAAGGCCGTTCCCAACAAGTCGCCCAGCGCCGTCAAGTACGGGATAGAGAAACTGTCCGGATCTTTCCCGCTCTTCCAAATGGAGTGCACCATCCAGTCCGCTATGCAAAGCAACAAGAACACCTGGGAGGGAAAGAGAACGCACCCAAGACTGCGTTAAATGTCTGCTGACAAAAACACAGTCCCTTCTGCTGTACCTTTGGATGAACTTTCCC